CTCAGGCGGACTTCTCTGATCATTCTCAACCCTTAGGAGAAAAAGCCTTGGGAAAACGACCTATGGAAGAACCCCCTATTTCATTCACTCCAAAGAAATCAAAAGTGGATCTTTCTAGTTCCCTGGAGTCGGAACTCAATTTCTGGGATTCTCCAAATCGGGACTTTTTGATCGCCCTAAAAGACAAGCCTGTTGCTCATGGGAGGGTAGTTGACCTTGATGACATGGAAGCCCTAAATTGTAAGGTAAAAGATCTCTTCGTTTATCATGGGTCGTCAAAGTTCTTTTTTGTTCCTCCGCCTAAAGTCTATGAACCCCTAGTGAGAATGTTTTATGCCAATCTTTGCTCTAGTATGTCTGATAAGTTGGAGTCCTTAGTGTTAGGAAAGCGTATTGTTCTTGACTGTGCCATGTTTGATTTAATTTTTTAGTGTAAGTGTTCTGGTTTCCCCATGCTCTTTAAAAATTCCTGGCTCGATGATTTTGAAATTTCCTTTGATCAAGCTAAAAGGTGTATTGCTGAGTGTCCATCTAAATCTCTCCCAAACTAGTTAGGCCCTAGTGATATTAGTTTCGAAACTCGTGTTCTGGCCCACATTGTTGCAACTACTCTGCTTCCTCGTACAGGCTCTTTTGCAAGTATGGGGTATGTGTGTGTGAAGGGCTCATGGGTCGAGAAACAAGAAGTAGACGCCAAGAATGCTCAAACAGACTCCAAACCCAAACCTTCTGCTTAAGGCTGTATTGTGGTCCGGGCCCAGCCCGGGACCAGCCCTGGCCCGCGAGCCCACATGGGCTTTGGGCTAAACGGGTTGGCCCATATGGTCCAGGCCCAAGCGGTCCTAGGAGCCCACTGTGGGCCGGGCCAGCATGGAGAGACCGCGAGCCCGGGACCGTTTAGCCCAGGACCGGCTGGCGGGCTTGGGCCGGTTCAACCGGGCCCATTTTCAAAAAAAAAAAATTTAAATTGGCCAACGGTTGGAAGTTTAAAAACTAGCCGTTGGCCTACCAATTTAGCCGTTTGGCTTTTTAGAAAATAGCCATTTGCCCCCAAACTTTGTTTTAACCACAAACTTTTTATAATTACACTTTTCCCTATTCTCAACTATAAATACCCCCTCATTCTTTCATTTTACTCACAAAATCATCAATCTCTCTCAATCTCTCTCTAATTTTCTTCTATAATTGCTTACTTTATTATTGCAATTTGTGAAAAATTGTGAAGTTGGTGAATTGAAGTATTCAAGTCTTCAATGATATACAATTTTCAACAAGTTGTTCGTCAATTCGGTAAACTCGTTCCAATAAACGCAACGTTTAATGCTCGTGTTGGTGGTGGTGATGATGATGATGATGAGCACCTTACAAATCAGGATTGGACTAATGTTAAAATTCTTGTTGAATTTTCAGAACAATTTCATGTTGCTACAAATGAATTATCTGGGCGATATTATCCTACTATTTCTAACTGTTTAGTTTATATTGCAGAACTTGCAAATTTGTTTACTCAACTTTCAGAGGGTGGGGTAATTTATCAACTTGCTATTGATTCTATGAAAGATAAATTTAAAAAATATTTTTTCCCTATCCCCCCTATTTATGGTGTTGCTGCCATGTTAAATCCTACCATGAAATTAGGAGGTCCTCACTTTTGGTATACAAATATTTATAAGTCTTTATCACTTTCAGATGAGGAATTTGCTACACTTGCAGATGCAAAAGCCTCAATTAAAATAAATGCTCAAACAATTTATAATGCTTATCAACTTGCCTTAGATCATGCTAGACCAAGTGTTCCAACTCCTACTTCGTCTAGTTCGCAATCATCTAAAAGAACTGCGGGCCTAAAAGCACTTAGTTCTTTGACGGGGTTCAGGGGTTCTCAAGGTGATAATATTGGTGATAGTTCACAACTAAATGAGCTTCAAGTTTATTTGTCGCAGGGACTTGAATCAGAGAATCCCGATGGCTCCTTTGATGTTTTGGTATGGTGGAAGGACAAAGAAAAATACTATCTGGTTCTTTCAAGGATGGATCGAGATATTTTAAGTATTCAAGCTTCAACAGTGGCATCGGAGAGCGCTTTCAGTCAAGCGAGACTTCAAATCGGTGATCATAGAGCGTCTATGAGGGAGAGCTTGGAAAAATCACTATTCTTTAGAGATTGGATCCGTTCGGAAAGAAGAAATTTTGGACTTGCTGAATCACAAGCGGAGATAGACGAAGCTTATGAAGAAATGCTAGCGGAACTTGCGGAGGATGCTGCTTCGACCGGAAGAGGTGATGAACAAGCTTCTTTTCCGCCACCACCAAAAGAAATTCCTCTGAACCTTGAAGGATTTATGAAATTTGTTAGAGATAATATGTACACTAATATGTAACTTGTATTTTGGCACATCTTCATTAAATTTTCTTCCTTTTAATGGTGGTATTAGCACCTTGTTGTGCTCATTCCATTGGGGGGAGAAAGACTAAGAAAGATATTGCCATTTTTTGTTAATGTCGTAATAATAAAAATTATAAGGCATTCCCTTGAATATTTCTAAAATTTGAATTAGAAGATTTAAGTCACAATTATATAATATAATTTACAAGAAATTGTCTTAGATAAAAAAAATTCAAAAAAAATTGCCCGGAACACTTAGGCTCGTTTAGACCCGTGGGCCCGGCCCATTTAGCCTAAGACCACATGGGCCGGTTCCACCCTCCAGGACCGTTAAGCCCGGGACCGTTTGGCCCGGGACCGCTTGGGCCCGGCCCGCCAGAAGCCCGGCCCGTTTCGCCCATTTAGGCCCGGGCCCGGACCACATAATAGCCTTACTTCTGCTTCCCATCCTAGCCATAGTGATCCTGACCTTGCTGAAAAACTTAGTGCCATTGACAATCAGCTCTTCGCAATCAAAGATCTTCTCATTGCCATTCAGTCCCCTGTTGGTACCATTCATGCTATCTCTAAAGAAATGGGGTATGATGTCTCCAAGATAAGAGTTGCGGTTCTCAGAGTCAAGGAGAACGTTGTCAAGGCATTGAAGGAGGTTCATAACAGGCTTGATGGAATGAGTGTTTCGGTAAATGCTAGCTTTGATCAACTGAAGGAGGCGATCTCCAATACTCTTACCTATTTTCTGTGTCGTTAATGTGGAAGTTTAAGACAATATTTTTTTTGTTGTGCTGTTTTTGGACTGAAAATTCAGTCGGTGGATAATTTTCTTTTCTTTTGTTTTGCTATAACTCTGCTAGTACATCCTGCTATAAATCATGTTTTCGCATGCCGTGTGTTTTTATTCCCTCTTTGCTGATGTCAAAAAGGGAGAGAAAGGATACATGTATTTTAGAGGTACATCTAGGGAATAAGTTGACTAAGGGTAAGTAAGTCAACTTGGCACTATTTGAGGGGGAGTCACAGAACCTGCAGAACTCAACTACATGCACCTCAACAACTAGCACCGGACAAAGTCAACTGCTCTTATTGAGGGGGAGTAAAATACAGGGAAGTCAACTGTTATTTATACATACATATTATTTTATCATCATCAAAAAGGGGGAGATTGTTAGATCTGATTTTAATGATGAAAATAATATATTTGTTCTTTGTATAGGAACTCATGGATAGTATTCAAGAGTGAAGAAATCGATCAGCAAAGATCAAAGAACTCATGGGATGGCATACAAGATTGAAGGAATCAATCAGAGGCAATCAAGGAAAGCAGACGTGATCATTGATACTAGGAATCAATTAAGGCTAAACTGAAGGAATCAAATCAATCAAGAATATTGAAATCTTGCAAGACAATCAATCGAGTATCTAAATATGGAAGGATCAAGATTCAAGGATAATCAATCAAGTATCTAAATCTGGAGGGATCAAGATTCAAGGATCGCGCACAAGGGAAGTCATTAAGGCCTCTCATCAAGTTAGAGCCGTTGCGGAATAATCTTATTCTTGGAAAGAATCAATCTCTTTCCAAGGATCAAATCTCTTGGGTTGGCAAATCTCTCCAGAATTCAAGCCTCTCTCAAAGTATTTAAACTTGTATCTGTACCTTAGCACATATACTTTGATCGAACCAAATACCCTCTCTTTGTTCTACTACAAACAAATATTGTAGCTCTACTAGACCTGCTTTGTAACAAGTTAGAGAAGAAAGAGAAAACAACACTGGTGAGGCATTGTATCAAAAAGAAACGAGCGATATAGGAACTGAGCTATTGGTGTAGATCACACCATTCACTGTGTACTCGAGAAACTCATTCATTGAAGGTGAACTCCCTTGCAACCCAAGGGGACTGGACTAGGACTCACATTGAATACGAACCAGTATAAAAATTCCTGTGTCTTTAATTCCTGCATTTAATTTCTGCATCTTAAATTCTGTTCTTACTGTTATCACGTTCTATCTAGTCGACTAATTAGAAAATTAGTCAACTGGTAGCGATTAAGTTTAAAAATAAATAATTTCCCCCCCCCCCCCCGTCCCTCCTCCTCTTGTACTTTCAATTATCGTTAACTAGGTTTAATCCTTCAATAAACAAGTATAATCGTTTTAACCAAAAGTTAATATTTTTTTGTCAAAAACATATAAGGCCAGTTTAAATCAAGCGTACAAATGACGCTTAAATATAGGTTAATTTACGTTCTATGACCACGTTTGGGTTATTCCAGTATATTTTTTTCTCTCCAGTTATAAGCACAATTTCCACGTTTTGACACACTTAAAAAAAAGGGACCCAAATAACATTTCTTCAACTTATAGTATTGTTTTTTCACCTTTCTTCAACTAGACCCACTGAAAAAAGTTAAGAAGTAGCAGTATTTTAGATTTTAGTTTTACGCGGTAGATTTAAAACTTTACCGAAACGTGGACATTTTCATTAAAGCACGTTCTATAATATCATAAAATAAGTAGTCTTGTTTTCTTATGAAACATAAATTAAGTCGTCTTGTTTTACTTTTTGCTAACCCATTTGTCCCCACCTTTTTTTGCCAATAAATACCCTTCATCCCTCCATCTAAAATACCCTCATTTCAGACACCCTTCTGCTTACTTAATCATCATTTTCCTTGTTTAATTTCTGCTCTAGAGTTTATTCACAAAAATATGGGTCATGACAGCCATGGGATTGAGAACAAGAAATCAGTTGCTATAGTTGGCCTGAAGATCTTAATTAATCAGAAGCTTTTTCAGGGCAAGGCAAATCCTAATAATGTTTCAAGATTCACTAGAGTCAAACCCATCTTCCACACAGATCATACTGAATCTAGCAGCAGTGAACAAAATTGTTGCTTCCTCAAATATTGTTTCCTTTGCAACAAGACTCTGAGGCTTGACAAACAAGTTTACATGTACAAGTACGTACTTATATATTTACAAAGACAATCAACTAGCTTAATTTCATTGATTATCCATTTTAATTTGCTAGCTATATATCATTTTGAGAGACACATTAATTAACAATGTTTATATATTGATTAATGCAGGGGTGATTTGGGCTTCTGCAGTTTGGAGTGTAGGAACAGGCAGATTTATTTGGATGAAATTAAAGAAATTGAGAATTGTACTAAGAAAATGTTACGATCTTTTCGCAGCCGTGGAGACGGTGGCCGGTGCAGTGAGACTTCGGCTCTATTGGAGGAATACAAGCAACGGCGCAACCCCTTGTCAAATTCCAAGAATCGGCCTATATTCACATTCTCATAGTCGAAATCGGGTTCGCCTATTGAGTGACCAATCGAGGGTGAAACATGGCAGGTTAAAGCTCGAGCTCGAGTTATATCGAACTAAGGCGTGAAATTAGATCATCGAGCTCGTGACCCCGGGACCAAACAAGATCGAGGGAAATTTGCCGAGTCAAATAACGGAAGGCCGAAATATCCACGATTGGTTGGAAAACACGGCAGAAATCTCTGCACGTATCAAGGAGAGGCCGATTAATTAGTAAATCATGAGATTATGAGATTTTTTTTACCTTGTATAGAATAATTATATCTAGAGTAGAACACCCCTACTATATAAAGGGGGGTTTGATCATCTGTAAAACACATTATAATACACGCCAAAAAGCAATACCCTGTTATTTCTAGTTCTCATCATCTTGTTATTCTGTTCAAACATCAGTTGAGGCATTTCTTGGCTCGAGGGTGATCAAACTCAAAAGCTAAGGTTGTTCAATTTGTGTGGTTTGCATTCATTTTATTATCATTAATTTCAATATTAATCTGTTTTCTTAATTTGTGTCAAGTTATATCACGTATCCTTAAAATTGCGTATAAGTTCAATTGTTATCCGACTTTGAGGGTAAACACATTCGTTTTTCCCTCTATTCCAAAATTCTTTTATTGTGTCCGGTTGAACCATTCGGTATTCGAAATCGGTTTGCATCGACTAATTGAGATACGCATTGCATATGTCTAATAAGGGGGAAAAACGCTTGAAGTTGCTCCTGCTATGACTCAAGGACACATTGTTGGAATTATTCATAATGCAAAATCAAAAATTTCTTTTTGAAATTCCATTTACAACCAATAGCCATGAGTTTTTTATTTTTCAAATGTCCTATCTATTTCCAAGTGGCCTCTTGCATGAAGCCTTAAAGCCAAGTGTTGAATGGCTTTGACAAATGGCTATGCAAATCTACCATATGTCTTCATGCATGGAAGACAAGATACACTTGTCAATATTGGAACCAAATGTCTTCATGCATGGAAGACAAGATACACTTATCAATATTGGAGCCAAGTGGACTAACATAATCGGACTAGTGTCAAAAGTCTCTCGACACTTGTCATACATGCAACCTCCTTAATTTCCTATAAATAGGTTATGAATTAGTCATCACAATCACTCAATTCTTAACCAAGAATACATCTAGCTAATCATTCCTTTCTTCCTAGTCTTCTTTGTGAATTATCCAACACATAAAATACCTTCATCTTCTCTTCTTCCTGGGCAACTGTTTTGTGCAAATTCTAAACTTCCAGGCACGAGTGCACGTGTTTGGAGGTGTTGAGGAACCTTGGGGAGCGACCGGCCTTAACGATTTGCACCCAGTCGGGCCGAAATCGCTTTCAAGGCAGTGGCTTGCCACGACACAGTATTTTTGATAAGTTGTAGTCTTCTTTCCTTGTTGTTCTTAGTCAATATTATCTACTGATTTTCCTTACAATTTGAAAGCGATTTTATATATAATATTGACTAATGGCCACCACTTTGAACAAAACACTTCCTGATCTCCCAAAGCTTGAGCCTTTAGATGGAAATAATTATAAGCGTTGGTCCTAGAAACTTTTAATTTTCTTTGAACAATTAGAAGTTGATTATGTTTTGTTTAACGATCCTCCTACTGATATTGTTGCTAATAGTTCTAATGCTGCTAATATTGATGTTGCTGATGATGTTGCTAAGAAAAAAATTGAAAAGGATAATAAAACAGTAAGAGGGCATCTGCTTAACCATATGACTAACCCTCTCTTTGATTTGTTTATAAATTATAAATCTTCTAAAGTCATATGGGACAGTTTGGAGAAGAAATATGGTGCTGATGATGCAGGAAAAAAGAAGTATGTCGTTGGAAAGTGGATCAAGTTTCAGATGGTTGATGATAAGCCAATCATGGAATAGGTTCACGAATATGAGAACTTAACTGCTGATATTTTGAACGAAGGCATGGAGATGTGTGAGATTCTTCAGGCTAATGTTTTGCTTGAAAAATTTCCACCTTCCTGGAGTGATTACAGGAATCAACAAAAACACAAGAAGAAAAACTTAACTCTTCAAGAACTAATCAGTCACATGAGGATTGAGGAAGCAAACCGTCTCAAAGATGAGGAGTCTGAACGACTTAAGGATAAGATGAAATCTCTCTCTCTTAATTTTTCTAAAACTAACCTTGTGGAATCTTCTATTACTTTTGTGAAAGCCAGGTTTAAAGGAAAACAGAAGAAAGGCCAGAAGAAAGGACATGTGAAGAAGCAGAATTACTTCAATAAGCCGGAGGTCCATATTCAAAAGTCGAAAGGACCTTGCTATGTCTGCGGAAAAATTGGTCACAAGGCTTTTCAGTGCAACCAGAGACAAGGACAAAGCTCAAAGAATGGAGGAAAAGCTCCAGTCCAAGCCAACCTTACTGAGGGTGGTGATGTCATTGCTGCTGTAGTTGTTGAGGCAAACATGGTGGCTAACAAGACTGACTGGATACTGGACACAGGCGCTTCAAGGCATCTTTGCGCCAACAAAGAGCTTTTTCACGACTTTGAGGAATCTGCTGATGGCGAGTGTGTCTACATGGGTAACTCCACTACAGCTGGAGTTATGGGTAAAGGAAAAATTCTCCTTAAGCTAACTTCTGAAAAAACCTTAGCCTTGAACAGTGTTCTGTATGTACCCTCCCTTCGTAGAAACTTAGTTTCTGGTGCGCTTCTCAACAAAGCAGGTCTTAAACTTGTTTCTGAATCTAATAAAGTTATTATTTCTCGTGGGGAAAACTTTGTTGGGAAAGGTTACGTTCGTGGGGGTTTATTTGTACTAAACATCGCTCAAGAGATTACTAATGATGCTAGTACCTTCAATTCTGCTTATATTGCTGAGTCTATTGATTTGCGGCATGGTAGACTAGGGCATGTTAATATTGCTTCTATTAAAAGACTTAGAAAAATGGAATTAATTCCTGCAGTTAGTGTTGATAATTTCTCTAAGTGTCCTATTTGTGTAGAAGCAAAACATACCAAAAGGCCTTTTAAGAATGTAACTAGTAGAAAAACAGAATTGCTTGAACTAGTACATTCAGACTTAGCAGATTTCAAAAACACTATTAGTAAAGGTGGAAAGAAATACTACATCACCTTTGTAGATGACTTTTCTAGATACACTAAGGTATATCTTCTTAAGTCAAAAGATGAAGCTGAAAGCATGTTTTTAAAATACAAGGCAGAAGTAGAGAATCAATTAGATAGAAAAATCAAGAGACTTAGGTCTGACAGGGGTGGTGAATATAGTACTAATACTCTAGAAGCCTTTTGTGAGGAAAATGGTATTATACATAAGATTAGTGCTCCCTATACTCCCCAACAAAATGGTGTAGCCTAACAGAAAAATAGAACCCTTAAGGAAATGATGAATTCTATGCTTTTGAGTTCGGGTTTATCTGATAATATGTGGAGGGAAGTTGTTTTATCTGCATGCTATGTTCTTAATAAAGTCCCTCATAAGAAGTTAGATAAAACTCATATGAGTTATGGAAAGGGTTTGCCCCTAACTTAAAATTTTTGAAAGTGTGGGGGTGTTTGGCTAAGGTTGATCTACCTGATTTTAAACAAGTAACTGTTGGACCCAAGACTTTTAATGTTATTTTCATTGGTTATGCTCAAAATAGTGTTGCATATAGATTTATGTCTTTGAATGATAGTTCTATTTACGAATCTAGAGATGCAGAATTTTTTGAGCATGTTTTTCCATTGAAAAATAATATGCCTAGTGATGTGACTAATAATGCTTCTACATTTATGCATGTTAATTCTCATATTGTGCCTTCTTCTAGTGCTACTGCTAATGAGCATGAAAATAACCTTAGAAGAAGCAAGAGGCGTAGAATAGAAGCTTGCTTTGGTCCTGACTTTATTACCACTTTCTTGACTGAAAATATTGATCTTGATGTTTTGAGTGATGAATTATATCAATCTATTTAATAGAAGAAGATCCTAAGACATATAGTGAAGCAATGAGGTCAATAGATGCTAATTTTTGGAAAGAGGCCATTAAAAGTGAATTAGACTCTATAGTTTCTAATCATACTTGGGACTTGTCTGATTTGCCTAATGGTTGTAAACCCATAAGTAGCAAGTGGATATTTAAGAAGAAGTTGAGACCTGACGGTACAATTGAGAAATATAAGGCTAGACTTGTTATTAGAGGTTTTAATCAAAAGAAAGACATTGATTACTTTGACACTTATTCTCCTGTGACTAAGATAGCGACTATTAGAACTCTTGTTGCTGTAGCCGTTATTCATAATTTGGTAATACATCAAATGGATGTTAAAACAACTTTCCTAAATGGTGATTGAGAAGAAGAGATCTATATGTATCAACCTGAGGGGTTTATGATCCAAGGACAGGAGAATAAAGTATGCAAATTGAGAAAGTCTTTGTATGGTCTAAAGCAGGCACCTAAGCAATGGTATGAAAAGTTTAATAGCACATTAGTGGATAATGGTTTTGTTGTTAATGCATCTGATACTTGTGTTTATTCCAAGATGATAGGATCAGATTGTGTTATTATATGTTTGTATGTGGATGACATGTTAATCTTTGGCCCTAATGTGAATGTTGTTAATGAGACTAAGAATTTTTTGTCTTCTAAATTTGAAATGAAAGATCTTGGAGAAGCAGATGTGATTTTAGGAGTTAAAATCAAAAGAACTTCTAATGGTTTTTCATTGTCTTAGTCTCATTATATTGAGAAAATGTTGAAAAGGTTTAATTGTTTTGATGTAGCACCTGTGAGAACTCCTTATGATCCTAGCATACACTTGAAAAAGAATAAGGAATCTAGTATTTCTCAAACTGAGTATGGTAAGATAATTGGCAGTGTAATGTTTCTCATGAATTATACACGACCTGATATTGCTTATGTTGTTAGTAGATTGAGTAGATATACTCACAACCCTAGTAGTGAACACTGGAATGCTCTTCATCGTTTGCTAAGATATTTGAGAGGTACTATGGATTGGTGTTTGCATTTTAATAAATTTCATGTTGTTTTAGAAGGATTTTGTGATGCAAACTAGGTTACTGACAATGATGAAGTTAGCTCCACTAGTGGCTATGTGTTCACTTTGGGTGCAGGTGCTATTTCATGGAAGTCTTCAAAACAGACTTGTATAGCACGATCTACTATGGAGTCTGAATTCATTGCTCTTGAGTTGGCAGGGCAAGAAGCCGAGTGGTTGAGAAACTTATTGGCAGATGTGCCTTTGTAGGGAAGACAAGCTTCACCAGTTTCTCTACATTGTGACTCACAGGCAGCAATTGGAATTGCCAAAAATAGTGTGTACAATGGAAAAAGAAGACATATCCGCATTAGGCATGGTGCG